ATGAGCAATGGTATAAAGGCAGGAAAATACATGATAAATTCAGGGAACTACATATTAGTCTGCATAATGGGAAGCCTGTATGCAGTGAAGGAAAGGTGTTTATGAGGAAATTTCAGTAGAGGTATGCTGGCATGAGATTATGCAACTATCTTCCTTCCCCTAATAGATAATGGGTTGCCATTAAAGTATTTTATATAGAGAGAAAAGATGATCAGATTTGTGTTTAAGACTACCAAGAAGATGCAGGCGAGGTTATGGGGAAATAGGAACACTTTTGCACTGTTGGTGGGCATGTAAATTAGTTCAACCATTATGCAAGACAGTGTGGGGATTCCTCAAGGATCTAGAACCAAAAATATCATTTGACTCAGCAATCCCATTACTGGTATATACCCAAAGGAATATAAATCATTCTACTATAAAGACACATGCACATGTATGTTTATTGCAGTACTATTTACAAGAGCAAAGACATGGAGCCAACCCAAATGCCAATCAATGATAGACTGGATGAAGAAAATGTGGTATATATACAACAAGGAACACTATACTGCCATAAAAAGGAATGAGTTCATGTCCTTTGCAGGTACATGGATGAAACTGGAAGCCATCATTCTCAGCAAACTAACACAGGAACAGAAAACCAAACACTACATGTTCACACTCAGAAGTGGGAGTTGAACAATGAGAACACAGAGACACAGGGAGGGGAAAAAGACATACTGAGGCCTGTTGAGGGGTGGCAGGTGAGGGGAGGAAAAACAATAGGACAAATAGTTAATGCATATGGGGCTTAAAACCTAGATGATGGGGGCTGGGCACAGTGGCTCACATCTGTAATCCAAGCACTTTGGGAGGCCGAGGTGGGCAGATCGCCTGAGGTTGGGAGTTTGAGATCAGCCTGACCAATATGGAGAAACCCTGTCTCTACTGAAAATAGAAAATTAGCCCGATGTGGTGGCGCATGCCTGTAATTCCAGCTACTTGGGAGGCTGAGGCAGGAGGTGGAGGTTGGGGTGAGCCAAGATTGCACCATTGTACTCCAGCCTGGGCAACAAGAGTGAAACTCCACCTTGGAGAAAAAAAAGTGTCCTTGAAGTTAAAAATGCAATACTAATAAGAAACTCAATAACCTGAAACTTTCCTTGATACTACACTGATGCACTTCTTCCTGGGATGATTTTAATACATGTCCTCTTTCTGTAATGAACTGTAAGCATGAGTATAATGGCTTTCCTAAGTTGTGTAAGTCCTTCTCATGAATTATTGAAACTGAGGGTGATCTTGGAGACTCCCGAGCTTGCAGTTTCTGTCATAAGTGAGGGTAGTCTTAGAGACACCTAAATGATTTATACTTAGGCTCGTATCTGGGTGTCAGTAGGGCTGTATTCCTTCTGGAGGTCCTAAGGGAATATCAATTTCCTTGATTTTTCCAGCTTCTATAGGCCACCTATATTCGTTGGCCTTAAAACAACACAAATTTGTCACTGTTCTGGAGGTCATATGTCCAAAAAGGGTCCTACTGGCCTAAAATCAAGATTCTTTCTGGAGACTCTATAGGACAATCCATTTCCATGTCTTACCTGGCTTCTTGGGACCCAAGAGATCTAACATTTGAGAAACATGAAGAGAATTCCCAGTATCATGTGGAAGGAATAGCCCATGCCAGTAGCTGAGTTTCAGGTAGAGAATACGAGCAAGTTGACAAATCCAAGAACACTTTCTTTAAAGAGCTGAAATGAATAGCATGTAATCTAGAGCCAACTGCCTGGGTCTTATTCCTGGCTTTGTCATTGAGGAGCTATGTGATCTTGGGCAATTACCTCTCAACAGATTTCCTCCTCTGTGAAATGAGAATAATCATTATAGATAGCTGTCTCTGTTTAGCATTGCTATGAAAGAATACGTGAGCCTGGGTAATTTATTTAAAAAAGACGTTTATTTGGTTCATGCTTCTGCAGGCTGTGCAAGAAGTACGGCATTAGCATCTGCACCCGGGGAGGGCCTTCAAGCGGCTTCCATTTATGGCATAAGGGGAAGAGAAGCTGGTGTGTGCAGAGATCATATGGTAAGAGAGGAAGAAAGAGAGAGCGAATGGGAGGTAGCAGGGTGTAGGAAAAGATGTGTAGTAAAGACCATCTGAGAGCACTTTAAACCACAGAATGCTGTGGTGTGGTTGCAGAGCAGGATAAACTGCGTTGGTCCCACATCTCTTCCCAACACTGAGTTTGCATGAGGGCTCGTACAAGAACTCTGGGAAGGAATGCAACTCTGCTCACAAGACTTGGGAGGGTCTCTGCAGATGGGAGCTTGCAGGACAGGAAAGTTTTGCAGGGCAGAGATCACCGGAATGCCACATGTTCTGCCTATGTTCTCAGAATATGGAGTAATTCTGATTGCTCTGTGTCCACAATGCTTGGGAGGTAAAAACCCTTTGATGCATTGTGTGTGGTCAGACCTTATGGTGCCTTATCCACTATGCCTCTTTGCCAATGTACGCGGATAGACAATGGGTGGTAAAAACTCAGTGTCCTTAGTATTTCTTAGAAGAACCACATTTGCTATTGAATGCTTTAGACACATGTTCTTCCCCTGGCTATCTTCCTTCTCAACCCCCTTCCCCACAGCCTGCAAGATTAACAAAATAATGCACCCAATAAAAAGTGTGTGGAGCCCAGAGCTCCATGCCAATTCGGATCACCCTGTTTGAGAATGCATTGGATCCCTGGACGCAAGTTGTGAACTTCAATTCTTGTCTCTGTCTTACTTCTTTTCTCACTCCCTGGTCACCGCCAGGACATGGGGCACCCATATACAGGGTTGGGTTGGTTCCCAACAGCAGGGTCTTCTCAACAACCAACCCTCATGGACACCTCATAAGATTGAGAACCCACCACCTCCTCAGAGAGGGCATTAATCTACTCATTAGGGATCTGTCATGACCCAAATACTTCCCATTCTGCCCTACCTCCACACTGGGATCAAACTTCTCTTTCATTAAAAAAATTATTTATTTATTTATTTAAGAGACAAGATCTTGCTATATTACCTAGGCTGATCTCAAACTCCTGGCCTCAAGTGATCCTCCTACCTTGGCTTCCTGAGTAGCTGGAATTACACACAAGCCACCATGCCTGGTTCTGGGGATCAAATTTCAGCATAAGATTTGGAGAGAATAAATATCCAAACCATAGCAATAACTCACAGGGGTTGTGACTGAATTAGTTAATAGAGAAAGAATGCTAATACTGCCTGGCATATAGTAACCACTTTATTAATGTTTGTATTACTTTATGATATATTGAGAAGATATTTATATACCTGGGAAGAAAAGAGATGAATTAGTGATATGTATAATATATATTGTACATGTATATATGAAAAACAAAAAAAAATTAAGCCAGACACTTATTAATTTCAGGTAAAACAAAAAGCACTGCATAAAAAGTAAATGGCTCACTTGTGAATATTGTTAAAATAATCATCATAATAAAATACAGCTTATTGATTTACCCCAAATTATGATATACCCATATTAGGCCAGGTGTGATGGCTCATGCCTGTAATTCCAGCACTTAGGGAGGTCAAGGTGGGTGGGATCGCTTGAGCCCAGGAGTTCTAGACCAGCCTGGCAACATGATGGAATCCTATCACTACTAAATAAATAAATAAAATAACCCTATTAGAAGGAGGGTACATGAGAAATGTGCACATGAGTACTGAGGGCCTGCGTGTCTGAAAGAGAGATAATTCCTTATTTTCCATTCTGTTGTCTGTAGATAAACTTAAAACTGAAAGCCTAGAAATAGTAATACAAACATGCTATTCAGACATATGAAAGAAAACAGCAAAAGATGCTAAACTGAGTTCAAAGTGATTACCTTCGAGAAGCTGAAATTTGAGGTGAAGAGAGACAACTTTTTTTTCTAAAAAGCCCCAAAAAACAATTTGACTAAGTAAATATAAGTAAAACCTTCAAGACATTCAAAATGAAATACTTACTTTTAAAAGTTAAAATGCAAAGGACAAAGAGGCAGTTATACTTGAACAAAACATATAAGACTATGCTTAATGTATGAAGTCCTCTGTTAACAATCAATAAACTGGATTCCACTCCTGGAAAGACAGAGTAGATGCAGTTGTCTTGACTCATCCTGTTAAGTTTATCTACAAACCATAGACATTATTCATCAAACCAACATATGGAGACTCTGAACGGTAAAGAAAAAAAGGCACCCTGGCTAGGGGCCTCAGGAACCAGGGAACTAAACAGTAATGAGTTCTCTGTATCTTTCAGCCTCATATAGATAGCCTTGACCAGGTATTCGATAAACCTGCAATGCAGAAACACCAAGTGTATACAAAAAGGCCTGGAAGAAAGTGTTGTCTTTAGCCCAAAACCAGGAAAGGGGCAACAGAGAAAAATAAAAAAACTTTTAGACAAAATCTACTCCATCCAAACACCACAGATCATAAAACAACAAAAAGTGTTTTACTGATTCCTCTCTCATCAGCAAAGACTCAGTGGGTAGCCTAGAGTCCCGTATTTGCCTGGCTGTCTGGGGATGCTCCTCCACTGCAATAGGGCAGTATGAGAAAAAGCCAAATGGGGAGCTGGGACTTTTATTTGTGCAACTGGTACTGGGTAGCTTTCACGCCATGCCAGTGTGAGCCACGTCAGGGCTGGACTTCCATTCCTACCTAGCAGTAATGAGACACTCTTCCCATCACCACAGGTATGGTGTGAGAGGAGGCCAAGTGAAAATCCAAGACCTTCATCCCTCTGAGAGTTACTTAGGCCCTATCCACCCTAACAATATCAGAGAAGACAGCATGAAGAGCAGAAACAAGGTACCCTCTCCTTCTTTCAGACAAGGTGATGTCACCAGAAGCTTACTGGGGTGCCCGAACTGGCAGTCCCACCTAGCAGTAATGAGGTGTCTCTCTCCCTAATGACTGTCGATAGAGTTCAAGCAGGGAACCTGTAAATTCACACCCACCTGGCAGTAATACAGCAAGGCTCCCCAATTCCCCACTGGCCCAGAGGATGCCTGATAAAAGAAAAGACTCAAATAAGATCTAGAGTCTCATAATGCCCAAGATTTCCACAAGACATTAGAAAATCATCTGTATAACCAAGAACCAGAAAAACCTCAACTTGAATAAGGAAATCACCAGTCAACAGATGCTAAAACTGAAGTGATGCATGTATTGGAATTACTTCATAAGGATTTTAAAGTAGTCCTCATAAAAATGTTTTAACAAGCATATGAACACACTTGAAACAATTGGAAAAAATTTCAACAAAAAAAGAGAAGAGGTGAAGAAACTAAATGAAAATTTTAGAATTAAAAAAAAAAGTAACCAGAATTAAAACTCAATAGATGGGCTCAAAATAATGGAGACAACAGAAGAACTATTATGAGTACCTGAAAATAAAATAGAAATGATCTAATCTAAAGAATGGAGAGAAAACAGACTGAGAAAAAAATGAACAGAACCTTAGAAACATATGGGACAATAACAAAAAAATCTAACATTTGTCTTAGTGGAGTTCCAGAAAAAGAAGAGAAAGGAATGGGGGCTGAACAAGAATTTGAAGAAATAATGAATGAAAATTTCTGAAACTTCCAAAAAGATATACACTTATAGATAGAAGCTGAGCAAATTCTAAAAAGGATAAAATCAAAGAAATTCACATTAAGAAAGAATCATAGTAAACATTTGAAAACTACAGACAAAGAAAATGCTGAAAGCAGAAAGCATTCAGAGAGAAACTACACATCACCTATGGGAGAAAAACAATTTGAATGACAGTGTGTGATACTAAGAACAATGGCTCCCCAAAGATGTTCACATCCTAATTCCCAGAAATTGTGAATATGTTAGGTTACATGGCGAAAGAGAATTCAGGTTTCAGATCGAATCTAGGTGGCTAATCTGCTGTCCTTAAAATAGGGAGATTGATTATCTTGGATTATCTGGGTGGGCTGAATATAATTACAAATTTTCTTTAAAGTTAAAGCAGGAGGCAATAAAGGAGAGTCATAGAAAGATGCGATTATGAAAGAGTAGTCAGAGAGATACAATTTTGATGGTTTTGAAGTTGGAGGAAGGGGCCACAAACTGTGAAATGTGAGCACCCACTATATGCTAGAAAAGCCATAGAAAATAGAAATAGACAGATTCTTTCTTACACCCTGTAGAAAGGACTACCGTCCTCTTGACACCTTGATTTTAGCTCAGTGAGACCCATGTTGGCTTTCTAAAATATAGAACTGTAAAAAATAGTGTCTTATTTTAAGCAACTAAATTTGTGATAATTTATTACAGCAGCAATAGAAAATTAACATGCAGTAAACAAACAAAAATGATAAAAGAATCTGTCACATCAGGAAGAAAGAACAATAGAAAGAATAAAAATATTGGTAAATAGAAAAGATTTTACTGCTATATCTTACTGCTGAGAAAACATAAACTATACATAATATCTGGCAGAATAATCAATATAAAAGAACACATGGACTGAGGTGTGTCCTCCAAAAATTCATGTTTAGGCCCTAACTCCTAATGTGACTATATTTGGAGATAGGGCTTTTAAGAAGTAATTAAGGTTAAATGAGGTAGATGTCCTAATCTGATAAGACAGGTGGCCTTATAGAGAGAGATTCTCTCTCCATAGGCAGGCAGGCAGTCACTGGGGAAAGGCCTGTGAGCATACAGTGAGGTTTCCATCTACAAGCCAGGAAGAAAGCCCTCATCAGAACCTGACCATGCTTGCACCCTGATTTCTGAGTTCCAGCCTCCCAACAAATTTTTGTTGTTTAGTCCACACAATCTATGGTACTCCGTTATGGCAGCCTGAGCTGACTAAGACAGCCACCAACAACTCTGCACATATAAATTTGATAGCTTAGATAAAAGAGACCAGTTCCTGAAAACACACAAACTACCACAACCCTCTCAGTATTACATAGACAATATGAATAGCCCTATAACTCACAAAGAAACTGAGTTTTTAATCTTAAAACCTCCAAAAGAAATCTCTAGGCCCAGATAGTTTATCTGGAGAATTCTACCAACTATTTAAAGAATTAACATAATTAACATCAATTTTATATAATTTTTTCCCCAGGAAAGAGAAGAAAAGGGAATACTTCCCAGTTTTTTATGAGAGGCTATGATTTCCCTGATACAAAAATTGGACAAAGTATAAAAAAAGAAAACACAAACTATCCACAATTTCTGGCAGAATAATCAATATAAAAGAACACATTCCAACTTATGAGGCCAGGGTTATCCTGATACCTAAACCATAAATAGTACCAAAAGAAGAAAGAAAAAAAGAAAGAAAGAGAAAGAAAGAAAAGAAAGAGAAAAAAGATACCCTTCATAAATATAATACAAAAATCCTTAACAAAATATTAGCAAATATAAATAATTTAAAAGTATATACCACAATCAAGTGGAATTTATTCCACAGATGCAAGGCTGGTTCAATATTCAAAAATCAATCAATATAATCTACCAAACCAACAGATTCAATAAGTAAAATCACATGATCACATTAGTTGGTACAGAAAAAGAATTTAACAAAATTCAACTCCCATTCATGATAAAACCTCAACAAGATTGTTTCAGAAAGTAGTCTTTGGACAAGGAGCACTGATATTCTGTGGAAATTTGTGAGAAATAAAAATTCTCATATTCAATCCCATATCTATTAAATCAGAATCTGAATTCAAATGCAAGTAAAGTGTCAGAAGCATTTTTCTCTAAGATAAAAACAAAAAAACTGTTAGTGCACTTGCTTTCTCTTTCTTTCTCTCTCTCTCTCTCGTCCCCCCCGCCCACCTCTTGAGACAGAGTTTTGCTCTTGTCGCCCAGGCTGGAGTGCAATGGCACGATCTTGGCTCATTACAACCTCCAACTTCCAGGTTCAAGACATTATCCTGCCTCAGCCTTCTGAGTACCTGGGATTACAGGTACCCGCCACCATGCCTGGTTACATTTTGTATTTTTAGTGGAGACAGGGTTTCACCATGTTGGCCAGGTTGGTCTCAAACTCCCAACCTCAGGCGATCCACCCACCTTAGCCTCCCAAAGTGCTGGGATTACAGGTGTGAGCCACCGAGTATGGACTGTTGGTGCACTTTCAACAGGGTTACTGTTGAAGACTATTCTGTCATTATCCATCTGAAGATCTCTCAAAAAATTTCTCAAACATCAAGAACCATGATAAATCACTTGTTAATAATATAAACCATGTATCCAATTTCCATTATTGCTATGTCTTTCAGGAAGATCAGAGACAATTTAACAGTTCAAAGTTCACAACCGTGTCAGACCATATATTCTAAACTTGACCTGGGATTGACAGTCTCTTCATTTTCTCTGAACTTAGTTTTTATTTATCTAGTCTTGTCATCTTACTATAGGGATTGTTAGATGCCGCCTAAATCCACTAAATGTAAAAGAAGTAACAAATAAATAGATGAACAAACAAGAACTCACCAAGGACTTGGTCATTTTTGGCTCTTCGGACAAAGGGGCAGAGATCTGAGAAAACAGATGGGCAGAGGTACAGATCAGAGAAGGAAATGTGCCAGTGTCACCCATGGACACATACATCAGTTAGTGCCCATGTACCTTACTCAAAAATTTATTTCTAGAGCTACAACATTAAAATATCATCCCATCATTGCATGTTGCACAAAGATTTAAGTGCAAAAGTTTTACCATAACATGGTTAATAAAAAAGATTAGATCATCCAACATGGTGGTTGTAAAAAAAAAATTAGAAACATTTAAATATCCAAAAATTGTGGATTGCTTAAATATTTTATAAAATATCCAAAGGACATACTGTTCTATTACATTATCATACTATCTGATTTCACAGACCCTTTAAGTTATCACCAACCCTGGTACCTAACTCTTCATTCTCACTCTTTAATCTGCTCTACGTGTCAATTGCTACCCAGTGACTCTACTCCCAAAGCCATTACTGAAATTTCAGATTCACTGATTCCCATGCCTTGCTGCCTATGAGCCCTGAATCATTTATCCTACAATTCCTGATCAGAGAGCCTTCAATTTCTCTACTCTAATGGTCCTGGCTCCCTACCAATCAATCCCATGTCCCCATGACTAGCCTCCATGCCTGTATCTCCATCAGACATCCTAAGAGTCCCAATCCTAGGCACACCTGTACCTGCACTGGGGCCTTAGCACACAAACACATCTCCCACCGCTGACAAAACTAGGCCATAAACTCCTCCACACACACAAACAGGAACTAAATCAATGAACAAATCTGGGGAAATTATTGAATGTATACGATAAATCTGTAAATGAAAAACACTTCTAATCTAAGTGTGAAAAACCAGAGTATTCACAGAGAAAGAATGAAGAAAATAAGAAACCACTTCATTTGCAGTACTGAAAGTGAAATGATGTCAGAAATAGCAACTAAAAGACCGCTTTTCTGTCAGGGTGAGAGAGACATTTTCAGAAATAAAAGCACTTGCAGAGAGTATCTCCATCTTTGAGAGAAATACCGAAAGAAGTAGTCCAAATAAATGTAAAATGAATCTCATGAGAAATCTTCAATAGGAAAATACTGTTCAGTAATAATTCTTGCAAAATATATATAATTACAAAAAAGGATGTGACAATGTGATAAAGAGGCCACTACAGAGAAAATTAATAATGTCCTATGATAAAACATTCCTAATAATCTCAGGAAAAAACAGAAAAAATGGGGTCCAGAATGGAAACAATGAGCAGAAATTTCATCCATCCAATCAAAATATATAAAGAAAAGGCAGAAAATAAAAAGAACTAAATAGTGAACATCAAATGGAAGACATACAATCAGATAAATCATTATTACAATAAATAGAAGTAAAATTCTATCAACAGAGACTATTAAGTTGGATTTGAAAAAACAAAGGTATCTATTGTAAACAAATAGGTAATGTAACATAGAAACAGATATGGATACAACATAAAGCTCTGGGCAAAGACACATCATCCAAAGGCAATAAAAGTAAAAACAGGTGGCTAAGTATCAACGTGGAATTCGACGTTAAAAAGTGTTTTTCTTTTTTCTTTTTGGTTGAAAAAAGGGATCCTACAATAATAATAGCATTTAATAAATGCAAAAGGATTAAAAAGTCCATTAACCGTTAGGTGTATGTATGCCTGTCCCTCAGACACACAAAATTAGCAAAAAAGCTCATATAACTGCCAAGTGAACTGTTAAAGTAAGAGATTTTTATTGTATCTCTTCCAGAGTATGAAACAAGTAGATCAAAATTAGGAAAGATAAAGATTTGAAGAATACAAACAACCAAGACTTAATTAAAGAGAATTTTGCCCCATATAACAAAACATACTTTTCCTCTTGTATCTGTTGAACAAAGTTCATTGAGTAACTTGGCTTCAAGGAAAATCTTGATAAATTGTTAAAAGCTGAGACTTGATAGTCTGCATTTTCTGACAATACAATACAATACAATACAATAAAAAAATAAACAGCTAAAACATATTTTAATAATTTGGGAATGAAGAAACTCTCCTAAATAACTAAGGATCAAAGGGAAACATCAAGATGAGTTTATACATTTCATAAAGATGTAGTGAAAGAAACGTTATAACATTAACTGTATCCAGCATAAAACTTAAGAAAATAAGGGAAAGAACAGCAAATTACATCAAAATGTGGGGAAAAATAGAAAGTACCTAAAAAGAAAAAGAGAAAAAACTTAATATTAAAAGAGTAGGATTATTAAAGAACCAAGAGTCGGTATTTCAAAATGTCCAGTAAATAGATAAACCTTTCAGACGCTTTTTTTGAGACGTAGTCTCACACTGTCGCCCAGGCTGGCCTGCAATGGCGCGATCTGGGCTCACTGCAACTTCCACCTCTTGGGTTCAAACGATTCTCCTGCCTCAGCCTCCTGAGTAGCTAGGGTTACAGGTGCCCGCCACCACGCCCAGCTATTTGTATTTTTAGTAGAGACAGGGGTTTCACCATTTTGACCAGGCTGGTTTCAAACTCCTGACCTTGTGATTCACCCGCCTCGGCCGCCCAAAATGCTGGGATTACAGGAGTGAGCCACCACGCCCGGCCCGCTTCTTTCTAAAACGAGGGCGAAAGAATGAATGATATATAAATATAATAACTGTAATGATAAATGAGCTACTAGTCTGGATATGAAACAGAACAAAATGGAAATGAAAACATGCAATTCTATGGTAATACATTCTTTAAATCTTTAGCAAAATATATCATGATAACGAAACAGAAACGAAACTGTAAACAGATTGGTAATATAAAAGAGGAAACTGAGATGTACATCATTCATTCTTCATATCCCTCCTGAGTCCCCTGTCATCCTCCCCCACAACCCCATAGTCTGCCCTCATTCCGCCCGCAGATCCACCACCAGAGACCCCCCAGTCCACCCTCACTCCTCCCTCAGATCCACCCTCAGAGATCGCTCAGACTCCCACTATTCCCATCCATTGACAGTCCCCATCACTGCCCGGATGACTCACCACAGACATCAGAGATTCTTCTTGCTCAGTCCACAGATGCTGCCATCCCTCCTCCACTCACCTGCCTCTCACCCACGTTTTCCCAGGACAGTGGTCATTTGCTCGGGAGGTGACTACAGTCGCAAGAACGAGAACTGGACCCACTTCCTTTTTCTGAATGCCTCCCAGGCCCAGCAGGACTTCTTACAGCGCGGCCTGGGTGTGCGCACGCTCAGCAGTCTTCTTGGCGGAAGGTTGCCAGTAGTCAACATGGCGCTTTGCCAAACACACTCCCTTTTCAGTGGCTTACGCTGGCTGCTAGTATGGCGGCGCCCATGTAGACACTCTGGCCTGTGGGCGGCCATGTTGAGATGATGTAGAGACTGAGGGGCTGAGGGCTGTCCAGAGGAAAGGAAGCAAGCGGAGGTGTCTCCCGTCACACTAAGCGAGGACATAATCAAAGCCTGTCTAACCTCATGTCTTTATTCAAAAAAGGATCATAGATCTCAATGTAAAAATATGAAATTTAATGAAAAATTCTTCAGGACCTAGGACTTGATGAATAATTCTTAGACGTGACACCAAAAAGCAGAATCAATTATAATAATTTAGCAATTGGATTTTATCAAAATTTAAAACTTGCTCTGCATGAGAGCCTGTTAACATAATGAAAAGGCAAAATAAAAACTAGGAGAAAACTGCAAACCGCACCTTATAAACCATATCTGACAAGGAGCTCATGTCTAGAATATTCTTAACATTTTCAAAAGTCAACAGCAACAACAACAAAACAATCCAATTAGAAAATGGGCTAAAGAAATGAAAGGATATTTCACTGAACAGGATATATTGATAGAAAATGAGAAAATAAAGTAACTTTTAACAGAGGACTGCCAGTCCTTTTAAATTATCAAGCCCAGAGAGACATTAAAATGAGACAGCAGTCATTTTGAGCTACGTTTTCATCTCTTGAAACTGCTTGCTATTGCCACAAGTAGCTATAAATTAACTTAATAATGTCATACTGGACATGATAACCCACACCCTAGACTTAACAATGTAGAGTGACTCACTAATCAATGTTATTTCTATAACAAATGAGAATTCCTGACAAATAACTTTGTATCAGCTCACTCCTTGTCTCCCTTTTTTGCTTTTAATAAAGGCCATATGAGTTCATATCCAGGGTTTCTTGGGTCTGAGTCCTTTGGGCAGCTGTTGTCACTTTCATTTGTTGTTGTTGGAGAGACAGGATCCTGCTCTGTGGCTCAGGCTGGAAGACTAGAGTGCAGTGGTGCAATCAAAGCTCACTATAACCTTGATCTCCTAGGATCAAGTGATCCTCTCACCTCAGTTTCCCAATTAGCTAGGATTATAGCATGCACCACCGTGCCTGGCTAATTATTATTATTATTATTTGTAGTAATGGAGGTCTCTGTTGTCCAGGCTGGTCTTGAATTCCTGGCCTCAAGCAATCCTCCTGCTTTGGCCTCCCAAAATGCTGGGATTACAGGTGTGAGCCACAGTGCCCAGCCCAACCTCTCACTTTTAGGTAAACAAAAATAGGCACATTAAAAGATCTGGTTCCACTCCCACATGTAAAGAGCCTGGATTCTCTCACACTTATATGAATTTTACCTCCAGGAGCCCCACCAGGTTGTCATTGTGAACAGAAAGTAAATTCCTTTGTGCACCTGGCAGGGAGAGAGGGAAAGTAACCACTCGAAATACAACTAGAACATTGGGTTCTCTTTAAGCAAGACCTGCAATGGATATGTAATCTTAGATTATACACTGCTTTCCCTTTACACTGCCTTACCATCACCTCAGCAGGGCTCCAGTATAATAACTGTGGACTATATCCAAGAAACTATCCCCCTAAACAACATCTTTAGACAATATTCAGAATTAGCTCCCAGTGTTGACAGTCCTAGTGCCCCTTGGAAATTTTTCTTGACGGCCTAAAGCCAGAAGTTGCAAATAATGCATGAAAACCAAAAATTGACTGAAAAAATTATCCCATCGTATGAACTTCAACATTTTGCCAAACATTTAAAGAGACTTGACATAACAAAAACAAACTAAAAACTCTCATAAGAAAATGCTTATCCTTTTTGCTTAAAAGAAAAATCATTTTGGTTAACATGGGAGGCACCCTCTACTTCATCTCTCTATTTGGGGCATTAATAATTCTGGCTTTCTTACTGAACTAAAATATACCATTTTAGCCATTTTAAAGTATATGGTTCAGTGGTATTGTCTTAACACATTAACATTGTTGTGAAACCATCACCACCATCTGTGTCCCAGACAGTTTTTCATCTTCCCAATGGAATTTTTTCATGTTACCAACTGAATCTATACCTATTAAGCAATAATTCCCCAATCCTTTTATGCCCAGACCTGGCAACCATCATTACACTTTGTGATTCTACTAAAGTATCACAAAGTATCACTTTGATTCTACTGAAGTATCACAAAGTATCTACTAAAGTATCACTTTCTGTATCTGGCTTATTTTACTCCGTACAGTTTCTTCAAGATTCGTTAATATTGTAGCATGTATCAGAACTTTATTCCTTTCTAAGGCTGAGTGCTGTTCCCTAGTATTTATAGATCCACTTTTGTTAGTCCATTTGCCATAGACGGATGTTTGGATTGTTTCTACCTTCTAGTTACTGTGAAATGCTGCTGTAAACATTGATGCGCTAGTAATAGTTTGAGTCCCTTCTTTCAGTTCTTTGGAGGTATATACCTATCTAGAAGTGGAATTTTGCTGGATCATACAGTAATTTGATTTTTAAATTTCTGAGGAACTGCCAAACTGTTTTCCACAGCAGCTGCACTATTTTACATTCCCACCAGCAAGGCATAAGTGTTCCAACTTCTCCACAACCTCATTAACATTTGTTACTTATTTTTTTTGGATAATACACATTAAAAAATGGATGTGAAATGATATCTTATTGTGGCTTTGATTTAAATTTCCCTAGTGATTAGTGATGTGGAGCATCTTGTGCATTTATGTATCTTCTTTGAAGAAATATCTATTTAAATCTTTTGCCCAGTTTTGAATCATCTTGTTTGAATCTTTTGTTGTTGTCAAGTTGTGGCAGTTTTTTACATATTCTCAATATTAATCTTATATATGTATGTATTATCTGCAAATATTTTCTTGCAATCTGTGAGTTGCTTTTTCACTCTACTGATAGTGCCTTTTGAGGCACAAAACACTTCTATTTTGATTAAATCTATCTATTCTCTTATTGGCTGTGCTTTTGGTGTCTTTGATCCAAGAAACCATTGCAAAACCCAAATCACGAAACTTTCCCTTTATGCTTTCTTCTAAGACCTTTATAGTTTTAAGTCTTATGTTTAGACCTTTGATCCAGTTTGAGTTAGTTTATGTATATATCCACATGCAAAGAGTGAGGTTGGGCTCTTATTTATACTATATATACATATATATGCCATATGTGTATATATAGTATATTTATATATAAAATATATAACATATATATATACACACACTATATATACATATATAAAGTATATTATATATGTATATATACTATATATATACACATTATATATGTTTTAAATACATATACAAATGTATTTTAAAAAGCTCAACACTTCTGATGATTAGAGAAATGCAAATCCAAACCATATATATTATATTTGGTTTGGATGTATTTTTAAATATATTATATTATATGTTATATATTATATACTATATACGCATTAGCTAGAATATATCAGCTATAATATGTATTATATATTACATTATATGTTATATATAATGGTATTTATATCATTATTATATATCCAAAGGAATATAAATCATTCTATTACAGAAATACATGCATGTGTATGTTCACTGCAGCACTGTTCACAACAGCAAAGACATGGAATCAACCCAAATGCTCATCAATGGTAGACTCGATAAAGAAAATGTGGTATATATACACCATGGAGCACCATGCAGCCATGAAAATGAATCAGATCATGTCTTTTTCAGACGCGTAGATGAAGCTGGAAGCCACTATCCTCAGCAAACTAACACAGGGACAGAAAAGCAAATACTACATGTTCTCACTAATAAGTGGGAGCTGAACAACAGGACCACGTGGACACAGGCAGGAGAACAACACACACTGGCACCTGTTGGGGGAGGGCCGGTAGTAGGGAGCGCATCAGGAAAAATGGCTAATGCATGCTGAGTTTAATACCTAGGTGATGGGGTGATAGATGCAGCAAACTACATGCTACATGATTGCAGCAAACTTACCTGTGTAAGAAAACTGCCTGCTGCACCTGTACCCGAGAACTATAAAGAAAATAAACACACAAATAAAATTTTAAAAAATTTAAAAATTATTTTAATTGTATGTGGGTAGGTCCCTTTGATTGAAAGTGAAATTGAAATAATTAAAAAAAACAACAATCTTACTATTCAAAATTACAAAACAAAGTAATAGTAAAACAAATTTACATTTTGTACCTGGATTGATATAAGACAAAAACATTGTGTGGGAAAGCTGGAGTTGAGGACGAATGAGATTCTAAGAATAAAAATCCCTGGTACATAGTCAAAGTTTCAGAGTCAACTTCAGATTTTCAAGGATTATAAAATAGATAACCTCATACCACTGTCTCCAACAGATAAAAGGAACCAGATAATATCTGTGTTCTAGGGAGAAAGAACGGAAAATTGGCTGAGTTCTGTCACTGACAAAACTTAGTGGAAAGGCGGAATCTGGAAGATGGGAGGGTGGAGGGATCCTGGGCTTGCAGGGTGGGGAGGGGCTGTGCTTCAGCCTCCCCCTCTCACTGCCCCTACCCCATCAGGGGCCCTTTGTGATGTGAACGCCCCAGCTCTGTGACGCAAGCCTGGGCCCCAGTCCCTAGTCTGCAAGGGAATGCCCAGAGCTCAGTTGCTTGAAGGCAGCATACCTATTCAGATGGCAAATATTCCGTTTCCTCTAAAATTTCTTAGTGATTTGTGGATAAACACCCCCAGCTTTACACCATGGGTGTTGGATATCTTCCTCACCCTGGTATTTGCCATGGAGTTATATTTCCTATTAGCCCCCTAACCTCTCTTACTTCCATCGTGATCCACCCTCACCCGGGGAGAAGAGAATGGTAAGGAGCCCTCAGGCTGGACCCACACAGCACAATTCTCTCCTTTCTTTCTATTATTAGCTTTACTTTTCCAAATCTAGTGGAGAGACTTCCGCAATGGGAAGTGTCAGGAGAGACCAGAACATGGTCCTTCCAGGGAGAGG